TATCCCGAGTCCCCGCAATAGAATGGGTCAGAGGAGGGGACAGAGGAGGGGGCGCTCGGCCCAGGTCTGAACTGGCTGCGAGCCCCTCCCCTACCTGCTGCAGGCCCCTGCACCTCCCCGGGCCTGAAAACCGGCACCTGCAGGCTGCAGAGAGGAGGCTCCCCAGTGAGAAAGCTCTGGGGCAGCTTCCCGGGCAGCCAGGAGGATAGGGACCAGGAAGACAGCACCAGGTGGCAGAGTGCAGAGCACAGGGGAACCACAGCAAGTTCAGGAGCAAGGCAGGGGCACCGTCAGACCTGCATGTCGCATGATCCTTCTCTGGGCCCCACAAGGGCCAGACTGGCAGGGGAGACYCTAGCTGGCCTGCTCAAGCCTTGGGCCAATTCCCCTCCCACCTGCCTTTGGGGTCCTTGGAGAACCTGCATCTGACAGCATTCCATGACCCAGGAGAATCCTGGCCATTCCCCAACCAGCCCTGCCATGCCCCTCGCCCACTCTGGCCTCTGCTCACCCTCGGCCTGTCCTGGCAGTGTCCTCCCTCAGACTCTCCGCTCATGACACCTCCACTCCTCCTTCCAGGATGGCACCCCCCAGCACGGCTGCCCCTGGCTTCACCCCCAACCTGCTGTGTGACCCTGGGCAAGCTGTTCAGCCTCTCTGGGGCTCTGCTGATTCATTCCATACCAGGGAGGTGACTGTAAAATTGGAGGAGGTGACACATGTTGTGAGGTTCACACAAGGACCAGCTCATGTCACCTCCCTGGACAGACTCCCTCAGCCAGGTCCTCAGGTACAGGGAGCCTCTGGTCCCACAGAACCTGCGACCTGGCCCTATTGGGTGCACCCTGGTCCTGTCCATCCACTGGCAGGAGCTCCTGCTGGAAGCTGCCAGCCTCCTGCTGCCTGCTCTGCCCCTGGTGGCTCTGAGTTGGGCCTGAGCATCTGAATACCCAGCCCTGCCCACTGTGGTCCCCGTCCGGCCGGCCTGGCCTGGGCACGAGCAGGACAAGAGGCATGCAGATGGGCAGGGCATTGTGTTCTGGGCAGCCTAGGACAAACCCTCCCCTGGGGTCAGTCCTCTCTCTGCTCTGGGCCCATCGTCCAGGGACACTGGTCCCCCTGTAGCCCAGGGAGCACTTTATCCTGGGTGATTATGTGAGGCTTCGTCCAGCAACAAAGGGGTGCCAGGGCCAGGTGTGGGGTGAGCCGATTGGCCTCTGCCAGGCCCTGCGCCCAGGCCTCTCCTCCTGTGCCCTGACCCGTGGGCAGCCCCCCGACACCTCTCGTCTCTGCTCAGGCTGCTCCTCCTGCCTCGAGTGCCRTCTCCCGCTTGGCCGACTCCTCTGGGCCCTGGGGACCCTCTCTGGCCCTTCCCGGTGCCCCCCCAGGTCCCAGCCCCTCCCCTGTTGGTGCTGGTGTGGCCACACACGCCATCTCCACCGAGTGGCCCTGCCCTGGACTCTGGCTGGGCCATGCTGTCACTAGAAGTGGGCTTCCTGGGACGCTGTCTTGGTCCCCGTGGGTTGCGTGGCTCCAGGCAGGGAYTGTCACTTGGTGCTCTGTGGTGTAACCAGGCCAGCATCCCAGCAGAGATGGGGAGGGGGTGGGGTAGTGTTCCTTGATTAAATGTGACGCTTAGTCTCCAGGCCCTGGCCCAGGGACCAGGAGACAGAAATGAGCCAGACCCTGACTCTGACCTAAGGGACTCGGGAGCATCCACTGGGGACAAAGACCTTCTAGGGGACAATGTGGGGACATAGACCTAAGACAGCTTCCAGGAACCCAGGCCCCGTTGTGGAGACAGGAGCTGTGGCCAGAGGCCACAGAGGAGGGCAGTAGCCTTCAGGAGGGGTGCTGCAGCCCCACAAAGCCCCGGGTCTTGCCCCATCATGCCCCGCCCTGCCCRGGGGCCTGCTGGGACCCGGAGGTGACTCAGGCCCACAGTTACACAGGGGCTCAGGGAAAGGACGAGGCCCCTGCACTCCAAGTGGAGCTTGTGATCAGATGGCCTTTGGGACAATCTTATTAGGGGCTGGAGAACCCAGACCAGAGGATCTCACTGTCCTGCTGGTCAGGCACAGGGCCCAGGCACCCCTTCTGGGGACCTGCTGGCCCAGGGCCCTGAGGCTCTTCTGCTGGACAGGTGGCCCGCCTCCTTCATTTCTGTAAAGATGTGGGACCCTGTGTCTCTTTTTGTCTCCAGTGTGACCCTGGGCACCTCGACCAGCACAGGTCACAGCACTCAGACCCCCCACTGGTGTAGAGCCACCTCCTGCAGGACCAGCCGGGGTCCCCTGTGTCCCTCTGCCTGCTCCAGCCACCTCAGCTTCCTCGTTGTCCCCTGAGCTCCAGGGGCGGCTCTGGCTCAGGATGGTGGCACCTGCTGTCCCCTCTGCTGGAGTGCTCTTCCCTCCCCAGCTGCAGACAGCAACTCAAGATTCAGCAATTTAAGGCAGCCATTGCTGGCCGGGCCTCCCAGCCTGGCCAGGCGCCCTCCTTCCAAACCATCCCACCGACCTGCAAGACGGCCCGGCTGCGGAACCATTTGATCAAGGTAGAGACCGGAGGGCGGGCAGTGGTCTTGCAAGAGGACGATGGGGTGGGACATTCCCAGGGCCCAGCAGCGCACCAACTCCTCACTCAGGGTTTGTGGAGATGGCCCTGTTGCTGGATCGCACACTCGTGAGCCCAGGCCCCTGGATTGCTGTGTCTCCTGGCCACATCCAGAGGCCACGGGTGGTGACTTGTCCTCATGCATCTAGGTTTGTACCCTTACTCTGTGACACTTGCATGAAGACAAGTCTTCGTGCACATCTTCTGCAGGGAGTGTCCGCCCCATTGTCCAAGGCTTTGTAAACTCGGTGTCTTTTTTTATTGGTACCAGGGCTTGAACCCGGGGTCCCTAACCACTGAGCCACATCCCCGGCCCTTTTCATTTTTTATTTTGAGACAGGGTCTCGCTGGGTTGCACAGGGCCTTGCTAAATTGCTGAGGCTGGCCTCAAACTTGCGATCCTCCTGCCTCAGCCACCCTAGTCTCTGGGATCACAGGCCTGTGCCGCTGCCCTGGCTCACTGTCTGTWTGGATGTCCCCGTGAAGTTGGCAGCTGGGTGTCTCTGGGATTCCCATCTGCTCTGTTCACTGAGGTTCCCGGGGGCCTGCCTCGGCTAAGGCACTCAGTGAAGGACCTGTCACAGGAAGGAAGGGAGGGGGAGATGCTTTCCTAACTCCTGTCCTGGGACAGTGGCCTGGCTGCCCCCTGTGGCTGTTGGTTTGGTTTCAGGCCCCCGCCCCGCCTGGGCCTCGTCCCATTGCTGAGCAAGCTGAATGAGTCCCCCAGCCCAGGGCCACGTGGTTGGGGGACAGTCCCACCCATGGGGCCTGAGGCAGGGCCCTGGACACAGTCACATATTTATCAGCAAATACAGGAGGAGGGGCTCCTGGTGACCATCTGTCTCGGCCTCAGCCTCCCCTTCCCTCTGCGCACTTGGCCTCTGGTTCTGCCTGGGGAGGACRTGCTGCTGACCCAGGCTTGGGCAGGAGCCGGGACGGGGTAGGGTCACCTACCCTTCCCGCCTGGCAGGCCTCATGGCACCCTGTGGCTGGCGGAAGTCACCCSAGGGCTCCCTGGCGCCTGCTCAGGGGGACACAGCCCCACCCCCTGCAGGCCGCCCCCCATGGACAGACCTTGGTGGGAGGACACCTTTATTGTCAGGTCGGGGAACAACGGCAAGGCCCCGACCGCCCCTCCATGAGGACAGGGTGGCCCYGGGGGGGAGGGGCCATGAGTCGAGCAGAACCCGGCTGCAGCCTCACGTGAGCACCAAGATCGAGGGGACGGCCACTCCTGCCATGGGGACACTGCCCCGGGTGGTGCCAGCACCTTCCATTCTGCAATTCCTTTGGTGGCGAGTCCCAGGTCCTGGCCCAGCAAGAGGAGCACCAGGGCTGGCGGGACACAGGAGACTGGGCGGGAGGCTGCCAGGACCCAGCCTCTGCCCTGGAGACTGCCAGGAGCCCAGAGGGCGGGAGCACCGTGCCCCAGCTGCCCTCTGTCCAGTTTGCCAAGGGGACTCGAACTCAAGGTGTCCCCCAGGAGCGGCGGACCCTGGAAATGCCCAGGGAGGGGGGTGGCCAGGGGCTGCTGTCCCACCTGTGGGGACAGTCCCTCGGTGCTCCCTCCTCCTGGCTCAGGGTGGCCAGGGCCTGATGGGGGGTGGGCTCAGGGAGATGGGGACAGTGGGCCATGCCCGCCACAGACCCCTGTTCCTGACCACACCGTCCCCCCTCGTAGTCCCCGKTCCCTGTGACAGTCGGTTCATTCGGGGTCTCCTAGGTTCCAGAGCTCCGGCCAGGCACAGCCGCCCGCCTGCCCGAGGAGCCGGCCAAGCCCCCGGGAGAAGCTGAGGAAGGGCCAGGCCTGGTCTCCAGTGCGGTGTGGGCCCTGCCTGTCCCTCCTGGGCCTGGCCTGGTCCCCTGCTCCCCGGCTGCCTCGGGAGCGGCCTGGCCTGACCCTCCTGCCTGGCCTTCCTCACGACGGCGGAGGAGACGCAGGGCCAGAGGACGCCGGGCTCCATCCTGTGCCGGCCAGGACCCAGGACATGGGTAGACCCTCATCCGCGCCTCGTCCCGGGTCAGTGGGGTGAGAGCTGGCTCCTGAGGATCAGGTGGGCACGTGGGGCAGCCCCATGCCAAGGCCCAGGCAGCAGGGGCTCCGTCACCGCAGGCTCTGGTCACCCAGGCCCAGTCCCCAGGCCCCCTCCAGCAGGCAGCGGGGGACGAGGACAGGGGCAAGGGGCCTCTGCTGCGGGTGCTCATCCCCTGCAGACCCCGCCCTGACACCATCTGTCACTAAGGCCCCAGGGCCCGGGAGCCAGTGTCCCTCACAGTGTCTGAGCCTGGTGGCCAGGCCCACGTGGGACATCTTCAGGAGCCAGCAGCAGCACTGGCCCAGGCTGGTCCTCGGGCCAGGTCCGGGCTCGTCCTGGGGAGCCTGGCCGTCACTTCCTGCCACTGGCCTGGCCAGCGCTCTTGTGCGCAGGGTCGGGACCCAGCAGGGCAGCAAGGGCACCGTCGGGTGGGGGGCCGCCCCGCTTCATCTTGAGGTTGGCTCTCAGGGCCGMGTCCTGGCTGGAGCCGCCCTCAGGGGAGGCCTGGGGATCTGGAAGGAGGGAGAGAGGGCAGGCTGGAGACAGCCTCGGTGCGATCGGAGGCACCTGGGCTGCCAGCACCGGCCGTGGGACGAGGGGACCCATTCATCCATCTGTCCATCTGTCCATCCATTCATCCCCATCCATCATTCCTTCCATCCTCTGTCTGTTCATCCATCCATCCATCTGTCCGTCTGTCCATCCATCCATCCGTCCATCTGTCTGTCCATCTGTCCCTCTGTCTGTCCACATGCCCACCCATTACTCATTGATTCTTTAACAAACCCTGAGGAGTCTGCCCGAGGCACTCCCCGTGTACCAGGGAGAYACGGCCGTCCCAGCCTGTGGGGGAAGGGAAGGTGGGGACAGGAGGCCCGAGGAAGGCAGGAGCCAGTGTTCCAGGAGGGACCCAGGGGGCAGGGCGAGGGGACGGAGGCCTGGTGACCAGCTGTGGTCCGCCGGGGYCCTGGGGTGCTGGGAAGGGTCTCAGGAGCCAGGCTGGCACACTGGCGGTCCCCACTGGGGGACCCTGGGCAGGGGAGGGGCAGGGGCAGGTGACGCTGGCAAAGACCACCTGACAGCTGAGTGGTGGGGTCACTGAGGCCAGGGCCACCAGAGGCCTGAGGACAGCGGCTGGTGGGGGAGGCCAGGGCGCGGTGGGCGCTCACCGTGGATGCCGATCATGTGCTCCAGGATGAGGACCCTCTCGGCCAGGATCTTCAGCGCCTCCCGCAGCTGCTGCACCCCCTCGCCCTGCCAGGAGGGAGGCAGGGTCAGGGCGAGTCGGCGGGGGCCAGGGCCGGCTGGATCCAGGGACCCGCCTCACGGCCCTCCAGCCCGCCTCGCTCCTCAGCCCCTCCCCTGGCTCCTTGCCACCCCTGTGCCCACCTYGGGAGCCTCACTGCATGCTCCCTGCTCTGGTCCTACAAGGACCTCCAAAGGTCCTGGCCCAGCCTCGCCCACAGCTGCCTGTCTCCAAGGCCCAGGTCCCCGCTCAGCCAGGTCTCCACCTGGGCTCCACCTGAGCTCCATCTGGCCTCCTCCTGGCCTCCACCTGGGCTCCACCTGGCCTCCTCCTGGCCTCCACCTGGGCTCCTCCTCCACCTGGGCTCCACCTGAGCTCCATCTGGCCTCCTCCTGGCCTCCACCTGGGCTCCTCCTCCACCTGGCCTCCTCCTGGCCTCCACCTGGGCTCCTCCTGGCCTCCACCTGGGCTCTACCTGGCCTCCTCCTCCACCTGGGCTCCACCTGGCCTCTGCTTGGGCTCCTCGTCCAACTGGCCTCCATCCAGCCTCCACCTCTGCCTCTGACCAACACTCCTTCAGCTCTAGGCCCAAAACCCTTCCTCCTGCATCTGCCCCTCCCACCCACCAGCCACCTGTCCCTCAGCCCACCAATGCCCCTGCATGTCTGTTCCCAGGGGAGCCTTGTCCCTTTAGAAGGGCCCCTCAACCTCTCGTGGCCTGGTCCCCATCCCGCATCCCAGGTCCTGTGGCCTGACCCGGCAGCCCCRCCATCTGCCATCTGCCCTGCAGTCACGGCTGCACTGGGCTGGGCACTGCCRAGGGCAGGGACCCCAGCACCAGGCCAAGTGTGAGGATAAGTTAGAGGGTCCGCCCTCTCCCTGCGGCGCTGTGGCTGGCCGCGGGAGCCTGCTGACCGCCGGAGCCTGCTGACCGCCGTCCGTACCTCTGTGGCCGCCGCCTTGTCCCCCTCTGCTCCCTTCACTCCAGGCTGGCCCTAGGGAGCAAGCCACACGGTCACCCGGGGCAGACCTCGGGGCAGTGAGCCAGGACAGGTGGGCCCCGTGGCTCCTGCTCCGGGGTGAGAGGAGCAGGGCAGCTGGTGCCCTGGGCACCCTGCAGAGCCTGGCGTGGGAGGCCCTCCTCAGCCTCCGGGGAGGCTGTTTCCCGCTGGCCACGGTCCCTGCAGCCCACTCCAGGCCCCTCTGGGCAGCTCTGATGTGGTCTGTCCTGGTCCCTCCCGCTGCCCGCTCTGGCTGGGAGACCCCGCCCCARCACCTGGGCCTACTGCCCTGGGGCCACGGCACAGCCCGCACTTACAGCCGGTCCCTCCACGGGCTGCCCGCCAGCCAGGCCCTGCAGAAACCAAACGGGGCKCGTGAGGCCTGCTGCCCAGGGGCTCCCGTCCCCCCCTCAGCCCGCTGTGGGTCCCCGGTCTGGGAGGAGGACAGCGAGAGCAAATGGGAAGGCCAGGCCTGAGGCCTTTAGGTCCTGGAGCCCTGTCCACAGCTGGCCAGGACCTGGGCCTCGGCTGGGCCTTGGATCCTCTCACCTGTGCACGGGGACAGGGCAGCAGAGGGCCACTGCCCCTAGTGACCAGGATGCCYGCCTGCCTTCCCCCTCCTGGAGAGGCCACGGTCCCTCCCGCCATTCAGTCCACACCAGAGATGGCCGCGTCCTTACCTGGGATCCTGGTGCTCCTGGGGGTCCSGGGGGGCCGTGTGGTCCGGGGGGACCTGTGGGCAGAGCCGAGTGCTCGCGAGGCCTCCCTCCCGCTGCCCCAGCCCAGCTCCGTCCACTCTCTGCCTCCACCTGCTCCCCTCGGGCCTCAGCCCYGGGCCGCCCAGTCCTAAGAGCTGGAGACCCGGCTGTGACGGCCACCCCTGTGGGCCTGGCACTCAGCCTGGGAAGCCTGGCACGCTGACCCAGGACCCGGCCCTCCTCAACCGTCCATCTGTCTGGGGTCCTAGGACAGCCTCCTGCCCACGTGCCTCACTAGAGCGAGCTTCGAGAGGCGCACGTCCCCTCRGTCCTGCTGGGGCCCCGGGTGCCTGGCCCTGCCTGCCCACCCCAGCTGCCCACCCCCCAGGCTCCTGTGCTGCTGCTCTTCCCGGAGCCTCCCTTCCCTCCACTGGCCCGAGGTCCCTGCCCACTGCTCTCTCCCGGGCTCCGGGACGCAGCGCCGCCTCCTCCAGGAAGCCTTCCTGGCCTGTCCCCCTGCGCCCAGGTCCATCCCTGACAGGGACCCACAGCCGCGGTGGGTTACGTGACAGATGCCCGAGGGTCAGGCTGGGTCTCCTGGACCTGCATAGGGAGGGGCTCCTGACACATCTCTGCCCGGCTCGGAAGAGAGGCCCCTGTCCCCACGAACGGGCCTATGCCTCCCAGGCTGCGRGGACCCATGGCTGGGCTGCTCAGTGTCCCCAGGCTCAGAGAGGACATTTGGGTAAAGGGTGACCTTTGCGTGACCAGGTGCACATCAGGGTCAGCCTGGCCTCAAAGCAAACGCCCTCCCCGGCCTGAGCGCCTGAGCGCACGTCCTGGTGTCCCTGCATCCTCCTCCTGGTGCCCTGCGTCCTCCTCCCGATGTCCTTGCATCCCTGGGTGTCTGCTCCAATGTCCCCGTTAGGACCATCCCTTCCCTCCTCAYCAGCTCCGCCTGTCCCTGTCCCTCTCTCACGTCCTATTCAGGTGACTTAGGACATCAGCACTTGGCCTGCCCTGTGCTACATGGTGGGCACGGGCCGGGATGGCACCTCACAGTGAATCCAAGGGCCCCGGGGACCTGGCACATGGCTCAGTGTGCAGTAAGYGCTCAGGGGACGTTTGTCCACTGCACAGAGAGCTAGTGAGAGACAGCAGGGTGGCYGGGCTGCCCATTCCCTCCAGGGCCTCCACTGCCCCTCCAGGGAGTCCTGGGTGTGGCGAGCATGCAGCTAGTGGGCAGGGTTGGGGGCGGTGGCCAGTCTGCCCTGTCTCRCGCTGTCCCCAGGGAGGACGTGTGGAGGATGGGGTCAGGCCAGGCCTGGAGCCAGCTTCCCGCCAGGTGACCCCAGGCTCTGCTCCCTGTGTCAGCTCCCCAGGCCCTGGGGCCTCCCCTGGGC